CCCTACAAGAATTTGACATGGAATCCTCGTGTTCAATTTTTTCATACAAGACACTTATTACTCATTTTTAAATGCAATTTTCTGTAAATACGAGTAGAATTTTAAGTTTGAAAGATCATGTTGACATTAGGATACAACATAAAAAGTTCGTAACATGTTTTAATTTTTGTGGAAATTGTGAGCCGTGATAACCCGTGTGTGTTACTTATTTTGGATGTGTTACGATCTGATATCAATCTTTGATTCTGCTCTAGGTATTACTTTATGTTTGAAAAAGGCTCGTGTTCGTAAACCGCGCAGAGAAGAAAAAAGAATCAACATTCAGAAGCTCCCTCAAGTGATTAAGAATTCAAAGCCGATTATAAGACCTGAAAATGATCGCTTCACACACACAGCAAAGACTAAGCCTATTGCATATAAGGTAACTTTTCTTATATAATTACTCCCAAGGGCAGGATCCTTTAAAAAATGACAGGCACTCTGTTGATCAAGATCCTGAAGGTTCAGTGCTGTGTTCACAGGAATAGAATTTGCTGTACCTAAGAAGGTTAGGTTAGGTTAATTAAAATGTGTTTAAGTGAAACCTGTATCCAAATTTGTGTAGGCAAACATTTGTCTGATGTATTGCCTATTCAGAATGCCTGATACAGGGAGATGATCTATTGTCACTGATTTTCAGTTTTTCTTAGAATATGCCATCAGGAAGGTTTAGGAAAATCAGGGTGGTTTGGAATTGAATGGGACACATGAGATTTTGGTCTATGCTGATTATATTAATCTGTTGGGCGATAATATAAATACTATAAAAGTAAACGCAGAAACACTCTCAAGGGCTAGTAGGGATGTTGGTCCAGAGGAGAGACAAAGTACATGAACATATCTCGGCATAAGAATTCAGGACAACCAGAATATATGGATAGCTAATGGATTGTTTGAAAGTGTGAAAAAATTCAAGTACTTGGGGATCACACTAAAAAATCAGAATTTCATTCATGATGAAATCAAGAGCTGATTAAATTCAGGAAATGCTTCCCATGATTCAGTCTAAAAATCTTGTCCCCCCCCCATATATACAGGGTGAGTCAGAAGTATATTTACAAACTTTGTGTGCGTGTTCCAGGATCAAAAATAAGAAATAATGTTCCTATGAAAATGGGGTCGCAAATGTATCATTTTCGAAATAATAGCCAAAAATAAGCTTCCAGCAAAGATTTTTAATTAAAGTTTGTGCAAGAATTGTTGGCGACATGCGTATTGGTCCACACATGCTTCCATCGCGTCTAAGATGACCTTCATATCGGCGATTCTTAAGAAGACACTTGCCACGTCTCCTTGAAGATGTACCACTGAATACAAGAAGACAAATGTGGTTTATGAACGACGGAGCCCCAGCAAACTTCTCCCGTCACGTCAGAGATGATCTCAATGATCAATACCCTCAGCGATGGATTGGGCGTGGTGGCCCAGTAGCATGGCCACCGAGGTATATATATATATATATATATAATAATGAGGTTCACGGCCTGGTACTTGTACTTTGAATATTAGGTAACTTAATTTTCCTATATCCTGTAATCAAATTTCTTTCAGGACCATACTGGAGCTATCCTGCCCAGAGATGAGGGCAGTAAAATGCAGATTAAAGAGATTAAGCAAGTTAATGCGCCTTATAAATCACAATACGGACAGAAATCCAAGAAGACTGCAGCTCCAGTTCCAAAAGCAAATATAGCAAGAAAACCTGTCAAGGATATTACGGAGCTGAAGCGTTTGGATGCGCTGTTTCGCAAGAAAAATACATATTTTTATTCAGAAAAAGTAACGTATCTTAAAGAACAGGTGAGAATCTCCATTGCTTACTTTCCATATTATGCTTTCTTTGTATGAAGTACATAAGTGACTGCGCGTATTTCATCTACATTTTTCATTTTTTTATGAAACTTGGTATTGGAGGGGAAGAGAGCTTTTGTTTGTTTAGTGTTCTGTCTGACGACAGGTCCATATGAACAGGATCCTTCCATCCTTTTCTCGGATTGGGACCTGTTCATATACGTTCTTGGCAGATGATCCAGAAGTGGTTTGCCATTGCCTTCTTCTGTGTGTGAATGGAGTAATTGTTGGGATGCCACGGAGGAAAACTCCGTGTTGCCTAGACCACGGCCTTGCCCAACACCAGTTATAAATTCGGGCACCGCCGGGAATCGAACCCGAGACCCCCAGGATTACAAGGCCAGCGGGGGGAATGTACCAAAACTATTATTGGTCCAAGTAGCCGCTATTTTACATTAATCTTAAATCAGACTTTATCTGTTATCTACAGAATGGCTCGTATGCCTGTAAATGAACACCACGACCACCAGAGCAATTAATGCTACAATGAACCATAAGCCCATATAGTGATTTTAAATGCAATTGTCTCGCTACAATCATTAATAATCCCGTGTTTTTATTTCAGGCGAATTTTATGAAACTGTACAATAGCCTTGTTGATCTGCATAAGAGAGTACTGAATTTGACAGGGATTGATTTAGGACCAGTGGAAGAAGTTAAAGTGATTAATTGTAACACTAAGAGTACTCCTATAACTTATCGACAGTCACAACCTAATTACAGAGATCAAGATAAAGAAGAATATGAATCCGACTTAATTGAGGGTAAGCTAAATCATCTTTATGGCAGTTTCCAGAGAATAAATATTATGCTCAGTGCATACTTTGAGCTACATACTCACAATTCTTAAATAAGTTCCACACATTTTGGAAGCGTCTTCTGTTGTCAATCTCAGTAATCATTCAAAGAATAAAACAGTCATGACTGAATCAGGGTATCAATCAATCGGGGATCAGAGATTGAGTCAGCCAGTTGATGAGTTATGTAGTCACTAAGTTAATGAGATATAAAATTAGTCAGTTAGTCTATTAGTTTTCAAACCACAGAGCTGGTCATTCACTGAGTCAGAATTTCAGCCAGCTGTACCTCACCTTGTCGTGGTGGTGGGGCTCGAGTACCTCAGTGACCCCAAGAGCTACTGGTAGGGTCTCCCTAGGGGGAGAGGTCAGACTAAGACAGGTATACCCTGGTCCTCCAGGTTGGGGGTTGGTCGCAAGGCTAACAACTTTGCACCGTAAAAAGGAAGATGTTTCGAGACCTCGATCAAAGCCTCGGACAGATGGACCAAATATTGACCGGAGAGCCATAGAATAAGAAGTCTTAGCCACAAGTTTCCTGCAAAACAAACGTGACAGGAGATTCATTGTTTGTTTCGTCATCTTTCCCCCCCTCTCTCTCTTTCTTTGTGGTTTTCTGTTTCACTTTCTTTCATTCTTGTTTCTCTTTGTTTCTTTCCCTCCTGCTTTCTTATTTTTAATCCCGCTTTGCCAAATTTTCCAAGTCTTTCCAGCCAAATATCAGGATAATCCCTTAAATTAGGCCACAATTTCCACAGATCCTTTTCGATTCATTAGATCAAAGCCTCGGACAGATGGACCAAATATTGACCGGAGAGCCATAGAATAAGAAGTCTTAGCCACAAGTTTCCTGCAAAACAAACGTGACAGGAGATTCATTGTTTGTTTCGTCATCTTTCCCCCCCTCTCTCTCTTTCTATTGCATTTCTATTTCTTTCTCCATATTCATTCCTTCTTCCTCAATTCTCCTCTTCCATTCGGTCCTATCTTCATTCTCTTTAGTTTCTCTTCATTTCCTTTCCTCTCCTTTATTAATTTCCATCTTTAACATTTGTCTTCGCGGACCACGTGTCACTGTTATATGGAAATTCCGAATGAGAATTGTTTTCTAAAAATAATTTTACACGTGAAAAAATGTTGCAGGTCTAAACTCTGACGAGCTTGAGAATACGAGCCTGTCCCAGGAACTGCAGCCCTTCGCTGCAGAACTGGATGATGGTCAGGACGAGGGCAGCAAGAATAAATATTACAAGGTAACAACATTAATCTATCGATTTCACACATTTTAAAATGCGTACCGTTTTTAAGTATGACATCGACAATGACAAATTGATCTTACAGGAATTGCCCTGTGAAAGACATAACTTTCATGTTATCTACTTATATTGTTAATCTGTACTGGCTAATTAATATATTTTCTTTATATTTTCCTTAATCACCTACCTCATTCTGTCCACTGATATATCACAACTCTTTAACCAAACACCATTATAATTTAAATGCAATGATTTAGGCTCATCTAATCAACAAATTAACCGCCACGGTGGTCTAGCGGTTAGAACGCTGGCCTTGTAATCCTGGGGTCTCGGGTTCGATTCCCGGCGGTGCCCGAATTTATAACTTGTGTTGGGCAAGGCCGTGGTCTAGCCAACACAGAGGTTTCCTCCGTGGCATCCCAACAATTACTCAATTCACACACAGAAGAAGGCAATGGCAAAAC